GAAGGTATATTCCATGTATATATGTCAAAATACACTCTACTGTCATGTATATCTAAAAAGAATTAAAAATACATATACACAGGCCCCATTAGAAGACTGTATTATTAAATGTTAAAGAATAGCCTGGGTCCACCACTTGTTTTTGTATCACTCATGATTTAAGAATCATTTAGTCATTTTCTAGTTGGTTGGGGAAAAAACATCAAAAGAACAGTACTTTGGCACATAAAAATTCCATGAAATTCAAATTTCAGCATTCACGAATTATGTTCTATTGGAACATAGCCACACTCATTTGTTACATATTAACTGCGGCTGCTTTCTGACTACAATGGCAGAGTTAAGCAGCTGCAACAAAAACCGCCATGGCCCAGAAGCTAAATATTTATTAGGAGGCCTTTTACAGAAGAAGGCTACCAAAGCTGGTTGAAATTAGTACATTATAAAACCATCATGGTATAGTAAACTGTATTGCTCAAAGTGTGGTGCTAAGATGCCCTACATCAAAATCACCTGCTTGTTAGACTGCAGACTCCTAGACTCCACTCGGGATCTAATTAATCAGAATTTGGGGAGGGGGAGACGAAGGTCTAGGATTCTGTATTTCTAGCATGTAACACTCCAAAAATAATATTAAGTATCTCCAATATGTTAGCCAAGAGCTCTACCAGAGCTCCATCCCTGTCCATCTTTTTTGTGGTGCTAGGGACTGAACCAAGGGTCTTGCACATGTTAGGCAAGCTGAGCAACAGTCCCAGGATCCAAAATTATTAATTATTAATACTATTCTTTTTTCTTTTCTTTCTTTTTTTTTTTTTGGTACTAGGGATTGAACTCAGGGGCACTCGACAAATGAGCCACATCCCCAGCCCTGTTTTGTATTTTATTTAGAGACAGAGTCTCATAAGTTGCTTAGTGCCTCACGATTGTGAGGATGGCTTTGAATTTATGATCTTCTTTCCTCAGTCTCCCAAGCTGCTGGGATCACAGGCACGATCCACCAAGCCTGGCTTCCAAAATTACTTTTAATAGAAGAAAATGAACTACTAGGAACAGCTGTCCATCCAAATCCGCTTCTAGTCTCTGGCCTGCACATGGAAGTGCTCTTCATATGGGAATAGAATAACAAGTTGTTTAGTGAAAAAAATCTGTCAAAGATACTAGCATGCCCCAACAGATACATCAGCAAAATTCTTAATTAAAAATCTTGGTTTCACTGGGCACCAGTGACATATAACTATAGTCCCAGCTACTAAGGGGGAAGGGGGCCCACAGCACTGAGATAAGAGAATAACAAATTCAACACCAACCTAATTTGGCAACACTCTGTCTCAAAATAATATTTAAAAAGTTAATGGAGAGGCAGCTCAGTACTAGAGTGCTTGCCTAGCACACGAGAGGCCCTGGGTTCAAACCACAGTAAGATTAAAAAAAAAAAAATTTTTTTTTTATTTCTAGTTTGTATGTAACTTGTGTATTTGCAGTATTCTTCCTGCCTTTCTTTTCACCAGTGCTTTCGTGAACTTCCAGAAAGGTCATCTTCCAACTGAGAAAGGCCAGAACTTCACACATTCTCTTGGCCACACAAATTTCTACCAGTCAACGGGAACAAAATTTTCTAGTTAAAAAAAAAAAAAGAATATTCTTGAGGATGGGGTTGTGGCTCAGCAGTAGAGCACTCACCTAGCATGTGCGGAGCGAACTGGGTTCAATCCTCAGCACCACATAAAAATAAAGTAAAGGTATTGTGTCCAACTACAACTAAAGAGCTGGGGACATAGCTCAGTTGGTAGAGTGCTTGCCTTGCATGCCCAAGGCTCTGGGTTCAATCCCCAGCACCAACAAAAACAAAATAAAACAAAACAAACAAACAAACAAAAAAGTTTTTTTTGCCTAAAAAAAAAAAAAAGTTTTCTTGTGCTTGGGGTGTATAGCTCAGTAGTAGAGCATTTGCCTAGTATACTCAAGGTCCTGGGTTCAATCCCCAGCACCTCAAAACCAAACAAAAAGAGTATTATCATATGTACACACAAACTTAATGACCTAAGAAGTAAAAAAGAAAACATGCCAGGACCATCCATGATGAAACTGGACAAAGGCAGAAGCCAGCCCAGTAGTTAACTATGAATTTCAAAAGAGCCCTTTTATCAACTGAAGTCTTGAGACTTCAATACAGGCAAGGGGAATGCAAAAGCTGACCAAAGGGGATAAGAAGTTGCTCTGTCAGTTTAAGTTATGAGCAGGAATTCCATGTGTCCAGGTGTGCTGGATGGGATGCCCAGCAGTGACTTGAGCAGGTCCCTGGCAGTGACCTGAGCAGCCCCTGGAAGGACAAGGGGATATCAAAGCACACGAGCAGGATCTTTTCCTTTATCACTCAAATTAAAAGGTTCCAACAATGCTTTTTAATCCACCTCCCATCATCTTTTCTTAAAAAATTCCAATTTATATGTATGTGGTTTTTTACATTATGATTGGAAGATCTGGGGAAAAAAAACTTTAGTAAACAAAAAAATTGTGATCTATGTAAATAAACACAGAAAAGAAAAGAAATAAAAATGAACTATAAATCTCAGGTCCTTTGGGCTCTTCCATCATTCCCCCTACCCCAGAGCAACTAGTAAAAACCTACAGATGTATATAACATTCTGCTCATAGGAAAAGAAAGGGACAAGTACCTGAATTTAATAATCTATCCCCCCTGCCCCGTAGGGAATGTGTGTATACACACAATGTGTGAGTCCCTGTCCTAAGGTACTTTTAATAAGGATAGGCCCAAGCTCCTGCACCCACGATACACTCACTGTTCTATATTCAGAGCTGGGCTCAGGCAAGCATTCACCAGAAGTAGGATTCACTCAAGACCTTTAAAAGGTTTCAAGGTACTAGACACTTTTATTTCCAGTCTGCATTTTGTGTAGTTCAATTTTCTATAACTAGTCATCTATCTTAAAAAAAAAAAAAAAAATCAATGGATGGATTCTAGTGGGCATCTGTCAACCAAACACAATGGAAAAACACTTCTAGGGTTTGGGCAGTATGTTAGTCCAAACTATGTAACTAAACAGAAGTAAATATAAACGTATTGCAGACTACACAAGTGTCATTTATTTATTCATTTAAGAAGTATGCAAGCATATTGTGGTTAAACAGCAAATATACTGGATTATAGATTCAAGGCAGACACCAATGCAAGAATGAAAATTGGTACAATTACTTTGGGCAAAAAGCATCAATTAGTAAAGCTAAAAATATGCACACCTGACATAATTGCCCAAGATCAGAAACAATCCAGATGTCCCTCAATAATAGACAATTGGTGGGAGGTCATACAAAAATAAATGAGTTAGAGTCACAGGCAACAATGTGGATGAATTTTTAAAAAGAGCATGCTGCAGCAATTATATATATACTTTTTACAGCATTATATATTAACCAAAAGAAAAAAATCCAAAAGACTACTCACTCGATTTTATTTATAGAGGTGAAAAACAAGCAAAAACAACTATGCTATTCAGAAGACAAAAACTATAGAAAAGAAAGGATATTTTTTTTTCATAAAAACCAGGGTAGTCACTGGCTAGGTTACCTATTGTCCTTAGGAAAGAACAGGGAGAGGACGCTTCTGGACTTGCAAGATGATTAGTTACACTTGAGTTTTCTTTAAAATAATTTATCAATTTACCCATTTGTTTTATACCTCCTTCTTCTTCATGTTATAATTCACAATTTAAAAGATTAAATAAATATAATGTTGATTTCCAGAAATTCAGAACCATTACAACTCTGGCCAGTCTGGAAAGAATACTTCCTCTCTGAATGTTACTATGAGCCTATCAGCTTCATAATGCCAGGGACCTTATTTGCCTTCTACCCTGATATTCATCACAGTACCTTTGGCATGGTAAAAGTTAAAAAAATATTTCCTACATAAGTGCATAAACTGCTGATATGAACTTAACTCATTTCTTGAAATTACCTACTTGAACTGTACAACCATTAACACTTTCCTTTGTCTTCACCCTCTGAAGCTTTCATAAATAATAAAGCTACCACCTTAAATGTTAGCTCTGTAAGTTTACACCTTGTTGCTTTAGCAACTCTCCCGGCCTTCCACTACCTTTTGTGCCTCCTTTAAGCAAAGAAATGATGAACACCCTAGTCTTAGATTTCTTTTTATGGGAAAGTTTTCATTTGCATCTGAGAGTAAAGTAAGGATCATAATGATTCAATTACTTTGAAGTTGTTTATAAAGAGATCATTTACCTACTGCCTTCAGAAATACCACCATGCCATCAGGGTTAATAAAACTTTACAATCAGTTGTACTTAAAAAGCATGCTGCTTGGGGCTGGGGTGGTACCTCAGTGGGAGAGCGGTTGCCTCGCAGGTGTGAGGCCCTATATTTATTTATTCATTTTTATGTGGTGCTGGGTTGGATCCTCAGCACCACATAAAAATAAATAAATAAATATAGTGTGTCCATCTAGAACTAAAAAAAAAAAAAAGCACGCTGCTTATTCTGGACTGAAATAAAATCTCTATAAACAGAACCAGACAACTGTAAAATAATTAATTTCAGCTAGATATTCACTTTGTGCAAATAGACATTTATGAAGATGCTGAGAAAAGTCTGAAGGATAACACAAACCAATATAGACAGACACAGCAGTTACTTTTGAGAAAGATGTCCAAAAGAAAGCTATAACCTATTGGTAAACTTTCAGTTTTTACACAGAGAATAATTAAAGCATTTCTTGTGATATTGGAAAAACATATTTTTAATCCCCCTTGTCTTAGAACAAAATCCCTATTGTAAAAGAATCCATCAAACAGTTCCCTTCCTAATGCCCATCTTTTTAAAATGTTAGTTTTTATGCTAAGATCTTAAAGGATTTGTTGTACTTGTATACCTGGCCAATTTTTTAAATGATATTATATATACACACACACACGCATATATATATGCCATTCTATTAAAGAACATCACAGAATTCATACCTGCAGTCAACCAATATGAAAGATTTCAGAGAGAACTCAACAGGGGCACCTTCTACACTGATGTTAAGGCTTGAAATGAAGGAAACTGTCTCCTGTTTTATGGGGGAAAGCCAAAAATACCAAGCAGCTATCTCTCCTCCCCCAAGCGTCAGAAGGTGAGTCAGAGCTGGAGGCAGGAATGGGGCCCATGTGTCAAGCCGCCTGTGTAGGGCTCCTTCCTGCCTCCTCCTGGGAATTCTCAATTCGCAGCTCTCACCCAGCCTGATGTGAATTCTCAAGATGTCTCTGGCGAAGAAGAGGTGGTAATTCATTCTGCGAGTGCCTCATTCCCTGTGTTTCTCAAGGGAGCCCAGACTGGGGACCTTTATGAGTCTACAAGTAACAATAACCAAACTCAGCTCCAGGGAATGGAGCCTACACACACAACTTTACAAAGAATACAGTACTTATGCTCCCTTCATTTAAAGAGCAGGAAATTAACAGAGAAGTTGTGACTTGTCAGATGTCACTTAACTTTGTAGCAGTAGCATTCACGGGGCTGCTAATCACTGGCCTCTTTTTTCACTGAAATGTACAATCTTAAGGGAAGACTTTTCAACGTTCCATTTATACTTCGGAGTGGCTACTTAGGGGGAGGAATTCCAGCAAACTCTGGGTTAAATCGTAGGGTCCATTATTCCTCTAAGGACAGTCAAGAATCAGAAGTTTGCTCTTTGCCTCCGTTTTTGCATTTGTAAAACGGGAAGGTAATGCTCTCCACCTTCCTCTTATAAACTATAATGAACAGCTAACGAGTTAACACATGCCAAATGCCTTAAGGTCCTGCTGGGTGGAAAGTACAAGGTGGTTAAAAAAAAAAAAAAATCCCTACACAGTAAAACTGTATGTTTAAGTCACTCCTCCTTCCCTTGCCTCCGGGATGCCCAGTTACCATAACACTGGCTGATACCATTGGCAACATCCACCTAAATAAAATATAGTTATACAATCCACTTAAGGTGGCTACAGCACTCATTTCCCCCACCCCCACCTCACACAACTCAACTTCGCTCCGGAGCAAGGGTACTTAGGAGAAATTTTAAAAGCTATTTATTGGTGTCGTGCACACCAGAAAAATACTCAAGTTGAATACTTGGCATCGCTGAAAGTCAAGTTGTTTCTACCAATGCACTAGAAACCTTTGGAAGATGGAAAAAGCCTCCGCGGCTCCTGAAGATCCGCCGCAAGTGGATGCTCACGGTGGGGTGAGGAGGTAGAAAGGCCATGGAGAGGCTGGCGAGAGGAGTCAGAGGGGAGAAGCAGACCAGGATGCTGGTGGCATAGCGAAAAGGGTCGGGGTCCCTGGGCTGGCGCATCGGCGGCAGCTGCTGAGCAACAGGGGTGCGCGCCGACGCCCCGGGAGGAGGGGGCGCGGCGGAGGGCTCCGGGCCCCCTCTCCACTCCACACTGCCTCCAGGACGCCAGACCGCCCGGGAGAAGGTAGGTTCGCCGGCACAAAGTTTCCAGAGACGAGGGTCGAGCGAGTCCCGGGTCCCTAGTCTCGCCAGGACCCGGGCCCGGTAGGCGCGAAGTTCCGCACCGCCCGCCCGCACAGCCCCCACCCCCCGGGCCTCAGGGCCCCCTACCGGCTCGGCGCGGCTCGCTGCTGGCGCTCCGTCCTCCTGCGCGGCTCCCGGCTTCTGCGGGCTGGGAGCCGCGCGCGCCCTTCCTTCTCCTCTCCGCCCGCGCCCGGGGCGGGCCGCGCGCACGCTCCCTGCGCCCCGTCGCCCTCTCCCGAGGGGGTGAACCCGGGGCGGGGGAGGAGTGGTATGGGCGGGGGGAGCCCGAGGAGGACGCGCGGGGCGTCCGTCGCTGCGCGTGCGCGCTGAGTCTCCCGGCCTAGCGTTGCGGCGGGTCGCGCCCTAGGGCTCAGGGGTCAGCCGCTCCTCCCAGCTCCTCCGCTTCAGTCTAGGGGGGTCAGGTGTAGTTTTCTCACCTGTCTCTCATACATAGACCCCCTCCATCCCACTTAGGCGTTTGCCCACCAGCTGATTTTGAGAAGGGGTGCAGGGGTAGTGTACTTGGGTACTACTTTCTGGATGGGAGAGTATTAAAGGCAACAAAACAATGCAAATATAAAAAGGTGCGAGCACCGCAGAGAGTGACTAATCACCGCCTCTCTCCCCACCCCCACCTTCCTGGCGGCGCGGGAGAACCCAGGAGTTAGGATGGAAGGTTGAAGGAAAAATAAGTCTCATGGCAACTGTTGGGTTAATTTTGCTTGGACAGGTGTGGGCAGTTTCTAGTATCTGTTGTGGAAAGCTATCTTGTCAAACTGAGGTAAAGGTATGATCTGCCTGCTCCAAGACGCCCAAACCACTGGCACCACAGCGCGAGTGTCCATCAGTGCTGCTAGAGTGGGCAGGTAGGGTCTCAGGAGTCCAGGCTGGACACATGGATTCATTGAAGGTTTATTTGTTGTGACACTCTGCGGGGGGGGGGGGGGGTGTCCTTTTTTATTTAGGTCTGCCCATCCGTAGCGTGAGTAGATGCAAAACGGACTTTCTTCAGCACAACCCTCCCCGCCCTCCCACCTCCAGCAGGTGAGGGGCAACACGGGGGAGGTATGAGCGACTTCCTCAAGCTCTGCAGTGAGTCAGACACCGGAGTGCCGACTCCATGCCCAGTCCTGTACTCACCAGACCCAGCTCCTCACCGTTGTAAATCGTTGGCATCAGAATTGCTGAACAGTCAAACGAGTAGTCATAGGTTTGGGGGGAGGGGTTAAAGGGGGAGCATAAACAGCGCTTGGGTTTACATTTCTCTACAGCTTGAAGCAAAAGCTTTGAGGCTTTTTAAATGCTCTTCCTGATCGCCATTGGCCAACCAGATTCAGACTCATCCTGTGGGTGCTGGAATATCTAGAAGTTTTGTCTGCTTCCTGGATAAAAATATAACATCAAAGACACTTTAGTGATAATCCTGGGAAAGCGAAAAAGGCCTAGATGGTAGAGATTTATTTTTGCCTCCATAAAAAGAATCAAAGCTAGAACCACAGTCTTTGGGAAAGGAGTCCCCTGTGTTTCTCCTTTGCTAGCAAAGCAATAACCCGTCTTTTTCCTTTTTCTCAAAACGGTGTCCTTGTTATTGGATTGGCATCAGGGACCAGGACCAAGCTTTCATCAACAACACTGCCTTCTCTGTGCTGACAAATCTTCTCTGCCTCTGGTGCTTTTTGTTGTTATTTCAGTTTTCTGTGTTATTGGGAATTGAATCCAGAGGTATTATATACTACTGAGCTACACCCGTGCCCTTTTGATTTTTTTTTTTTTTTTTTTTTTTTTGAGAGAGGGTCTCATTAAATTACCTGAGGCTGGCCTCAAACATGTGATCCTCCTCTTACCTTAGCCACCTAAATTTCTGGGATTAGAGGGGTGGATGGGCACATGCAGCTCTGCCTTTATTTAGTTGTTGTTTTTGGTATTGGGTATTGAACCCAGGGTCACTTAACCACTGAGCCACATCCCCAGCCCTTTTTAAATATTTTTATTTAGAGACAGGGTCTCATTAAGTTACTCAGGGCCTTGCTAAATTGCTGAGCCTCACTTTGAACTTGCAATTCTCCTGCATCAACCTCTGGAATCACAGGGATTACAGGCGTGTGCTGAGAGGCCCAGTCAGTTTCTTGTTGTAAAATTCCAGTAAATTTATACTTTTTTAACCTAACATTATGAGAGCAGGAACCTATTTTGATAGAAACTAAATTTTTCATATCTTACAATTTTTTTAATGCCATGAGTTTGATTTTGTGATAGGGGCTCACTTGATGCTTTAACTGTATCCCTATGGATAGGCAGAATCACAGCTTTTGGGACAGGAATTCCCTGTGTTTCTCCTTTGCTACCAAAGCAATAAACCTAAACCTTTTTCCTTTTTCTCAAAAAAAAAAAAAAAAATCAAAGCTTTAAAATTAGGCAAAATTAATCTTTCTGAGAGAACAAAGCAGAATACAATTCAGAGTAAACACTGGGAGTTCAAATCTTGCCTAGGAAAGGCATCTTCCCAGCACCAAATTGTTCCAGCAGTTCATATAGTGACTTATTTTTGACATGCCAATACCAAAATAGCAAAATCTCTAATAGAAATGATTGTATGCAGCTTTTCTCCCTACAGTCCTTCCTTCAGCCAATTCAATGACTCAGCAGGACAAAGAGTCATATCGCCCATCAGATTCCAGCTTGTTTGTTAACACAGGTTTCCAAAACAATCTCTAAGTAGTGACAAGGAGTTAGGCATTTCATGGACTGTGGGAACTAAACCTAGCATGAAGAATCATCATCAGTGAAGAGGAGGAAGATGGGCTAAAATAGAGTACATGTGGAGTGTGCTGTTGACTTAAAGATCGAGAGATTAAGAAAAGTAGGAAGAACTGCTGAAGTCAAGTAATAACCATGTAATGATTGTACATATGCCTGTGGGGAGGGAGGTGCTTTCTGTCTTTACAGAATGAGGAAGTGTGGACTTATATTTGTCTCTGCAAAAAAAAAAAAAAAGGTCTGTAAAGGTATGCCATTCCAGACTAGCACTGTCCAATAGAACTTGATGTGACCACCAACATCTTCACTGTCCAATACAGTACCAATATAGTAGCCCCACTAGCCTTAGGGAGCTACTGAGCACTTTAAATGTAGTTAGGGTGGACAAGGAACTAAATTTGTTATTTTATTCTATTTTAATCAGTTCAAATTTAAATCTTACTGGACAACACTTTTTTTTTGTGGGGAGAGGTGGTACCAGGGATTGAACCCAGGGGCGGTTAACCACTGAGCCACAAAATGAACGGTGGTATAACCAAGAAATAAAATATTGCCACCACCCTAGAAGCCACCTGTCTATTCCTCTCCACTCTATCCTCCTTCCTTGTCCCACCCCACAAGTAAAAACTACCTTAAATATTATCATTCTTCCCTCGTTGCCGCTGTTGTTTAAATCATTTCTACTATCTGTATATCTATATCTTAACCAGGGGTCAGCAAACTATGGCCCACAAGCCAAATGTGAGCACTGCCTATGTATGTATGACCAAAGTTGAGAATGTTTTTTACAGATGAATGTTTGTTATCAATTTGATAGGGAGCACCCACCTTGAACACCAATTAAGCAAAACATTATCTCCCTGTTATTGACTGAATTGTGTTCCCCCCAAAAGACATGATGAAGCCCTAAACTCCAGCCCTTTTTTATATTTTATTTAGAGACAGGGTCTTGCTGAGTTGCTTTAGGACCTAGCTAAATTGCTGAGGCTAGCTTTGGACTTGCGATCCTCCTGCCTCAGTCTCCCGAGCCTCTGGTTCTACAGGTGTGCATGATGGGGCCCAGCTTTGTTTGATTTGGTTTGGTACCGGGAATTGAACCCCAAGGTGCACCTTGAGTTACATCCTAGCCCCTTTACTTTTTTGAGGCATGATCTCACTAAATTGTTGAGGTTTTCGCTGAATAATTGAATCTGGCCTCAAACTTTTGATCCTCCAGCCTTAGATTCTCAAGTCACTGGGATTATAGGCATGCACTACTGCACTTGGTCTGGACAGCACTTTCTAGAATATAAATATGTGAGTTTATGGGTGTCAATTATTTTAGGGTCATCTCCTACAAAAGTATGATTTGGGCCCAGCAAGAGTTTGGGTCTTCCTGTCTAAAACTAAGTAAACAGTTCTTTAGAGCACTGCAGCATCTTTGCTAGATGAGAATTGATTTGAGTAAGCAAATAAAGAGTGGAGACTTCTTCTCCAATTAGCTTCTGATGTCTTCTTTCTTTCTTTTTTTTTTTTTTTTTTGGTACT